CAATCGAAATATTTTATCAATTATCACCAGGATTCTGATTTATAACAATTACATGTACATGCATCACCACCACAAGACGTACAAATATGTCTGTGAATCATTTAAATCCTAATGCGAAATTTAACATGGTTGCAAAAAATAATTCATTCTTTTTTTCAAAAATACAAAATAGGGTTGTTAAAATGTAAATTTGCTGAAAACAACCAAGGCATACTAAACTTGATTTAGATACTTTCTTAACTTACGAGGGCCATAATGTATAGATAGTATAAGTTTCATGTTTACTTCATGAGGATAAGGACTAAACTGGCGTGGACAAATTCAAATAACATTTCTAAATAGTAATTTGTTTCAATTGAATTTAACTCTTGTATGGTATAAATTAAAGTGTTCTTTATGAATGTTCAATCATCGACAATAATAGATCATTTTTACGACGCAACCCGTTGCTATTAAAAACCGATAGGAAGTAGTATTTTCTCGCGCATGCTCAACTGCGTAGGGCAAAAAGAGCATTGCCCTTCATAAACATAAAGTAGAAGTTCATAGACAATTCCTGTTTTTTGAAATATCAATAGAAGAATTCCATTAGAAATTAAAATTGAAACAGCAGGGTGTTAGAGATAATATCTTAATTAGAAATGAAATATCACAGACCTGACAATGACATTTACATGTTTTATTCATGAGGAAAATTAATATTAAAAGCACATCTGAAAAACGGCCTGGTTGAATGTACGTTATTCTGATGAAGACAACAGTCGAAACTAGTAAAGATTAAAGAAATATGTGTTGCTTTTGGTGTATTTTAACTGATTTAGACAATTCCGAGTAAGTTAAAGGTAAAATGTATTACATAATATGAAATAGTTTTTAACAAAATCATAAAATATGCCTTTAGCTTAGTGGCCAAGGTTGCCATTAAATGCACAGAAAAGACGATTGTTTCAGAATTCCCCCTAACGATCACGGACCTGACATTGACATTTACATTTTTTTTAATTGGAAATATATCTATTAGCAAATAATGAAGTCACTTAATTGTTGTTGAAAAAGTTCATATAAAAACTAATAAAATTTAAATACAATATGAAATCGATGTTAATTATAATTCTGAAAAAAAATTCAGAATACGTGATTATGCATTTTAACTTTTCAGTTGACCAGATTTAATCCTATATCCGATTGATGCAAAAAAATATTAAAAAACAATTCAGTCACATAAATATACTTTAATATGGGTAGTGGGTAGTGAAATAACACACTTTTTATCATCCGGTTCCTTGTACACATGTAAATGCACGTCACACTATTTGTCACTTCACAAAATCAATCAACATTGATGAGATTGGTCATAATTTGTCGATGTCATGGTACTAAAACGTCCCGGTTAAATGATATTGTAAACTAGCTGGAAATAAACAACCGATCACGCGTCAATCTGTGGAAGTGTACAATACAAATTGTGTAATATTATATATATGTAATATAGCGGTAATAAAATCTTATCTCTAACACCCTGCTGTTTCAATTTAAATTTCTGATGGAATTCTTCTATTGATATTTCAAAACAGGACTTTTAAACATGCCCTGTTTTCATTGAATTAATAGTCCCTCATAATTTCGTATATCTTTTATAGATACATTTCACGTTTTAAGTACTAACTGCTTTACGTCACCCAAAAATTACTGTTTTCTGGGTGCATAACTTGAAATCATATCTATTATGTCCTAAAAGTTTTCAAATATGATGAATTGTGGTCATCGATATTGCGTTGTTTGCCTTACGTAGAATGCACATGCGAGAAATGCGACATTCAGAAATATAGAAAAATCGTATTGTAAAAAAGTTCCTTCGGAAAGTTACCGGCTGATGAGTATTGTGTTCAGAAATAAAAGTGAGGTAGCGTCAGGTGACTGACAGTGTCAAAGCGAGCTATACCGCGAATGCTTTTTGCGTTTAATTGACACTATGCCCATCCAAGGATACATATTTAGTGAACAAGTAAAAGGCAAAATAAGTTGACATTTTCCCATAATTCGTTTCAAGTTTATAATTCTCTTTACAGGAATGATACATAACTAGGAAGTGTCTGATAATGTCACTTTAAATATTGATTTATTTGCAACTTAGGTCGTTATCAGTGGGTAGTCTACTCAAGGTTTACACACTATCTTAAATACTTCAAAATACTATTGTAACAAATGTTATGATTACTGTAAATTCGGATAAATTATACTGAAATTGTTTTGTTTTTAAAAGGAGGAATTTTGAATAAAGGTAATACATAAGCATTCAAGAGACCAGGTACGGAGCTTATAAAGACGTTCAATTATCTGGGTATTGATTTTGTTTAGCTATATGAATGTGGTTCATTTTTAATTAAAATCAATTTAAAGCACATCTGACTAAGAGCTCAGCTAAAGCCCATCAAGTTTCTATTGATATCAACCGCACATGCGTACGCATATGTTCTAAAAATTCTAAATTATGACTGGCTGCGAGAAAAAATAAAAGCTTATAGTTTTTGATTTATTTGACAGTTTCTACAAATACTTTATTATTGTTTTAAGATTCCCTTCATATATTTTTCGACATGTAAGAGTAATCAAATTTTTCATATTTTATATGTTATACCTAAATAAAATTAAGATTACATTGTTAAAAGCTATATATTGGGGGTTATGTTAAAATCTATTTCTATTAATTGATTGATTGGTTGTCTACAGTTATTGATAAAGACGAGCTGTGAATGACATTGGGAGCTTTGCTAGCCAATTTTAACTGTTAAAGGATTTAAAAAAATAATTTGAGCTTTATCTTTAAATCAATATATGGATTATAAAATCTTGTGTTGTTTTAAGAAAAAAATGCGTCTGAATAAGGATATTGTGATATTAACAAAATATTCTTTTGAATTGAAAACTTACTACTTTTCGTAATAGTATTACTCTGACTTGCATTCTCTTCAAAATAACATTCGGCTATTCTATTTGTTTCTTTAAAAATACCCAAGAAACTGATGGCAATACTTTGATTTGAACTTTAATACTGTTTCTTATTATTTTATTTTTTCATGTCCTACATAACTGAAACTGTTCTATTTAATTAAACGCCTATTTCTATATACATATTCAATTGCGTTGTACAAAAGGATAATAAAAGTATGTACATATAGATAAAAAAACAACACATATGCATGGCAAATGAACTACAAAAAAATATGTTAAAGATATCAGCCGTGTAAAATATAAAGTATTAAAAACTTTAAAAAAAGAAAGAATAGTTATAAAAAATAACAATAAAAATAATTTAAAAGAAAATAAAAATGAATGGTTATTTCAGTAAAATTTCAAACACATTTCCACATCTCTATCAGTTTACAGCCCAATCACAATCTTAAAACAATGCGTAAAAATCTCTAAAATAGTAGGTTTTGACATTTTTCTTGAACATGTCCAAAGTCGAAGACTGTCTTATATACAGAGGCAATTTATTCCAGAGAGTTGGACCAACGGTACTAAAACTTCTGTCGTAAAATGTTTTCCTTTTGTTAAAGGGGACAGCAAAACAATAATCCATATTATCAACAGATCTGAGATTTGGTGTTTTTATGACAGGCTTGTGTAACAGTTCTGTTAGATAAACCGGAGCATTGCCCATAAAACAGTTATACATTGTACATGTACATAGTATTTTAAAATTGATCCTAGCTTTAATTGGTAACCAATGCAGTTCCAACAAAGAGTCTTTGGAACTATCATATTTTCCGCGTTGCAAAACAAGTTTAGCGCACATATTCTGGATACGCTGTAATTTCTGTAACTCACTTTCTGAAATGCCAAACAATATAGCGTTGCAATAATCCAAATGTGAGATTACAAGCGACAATACTAGGATTTTTGTGGCGTCCTGAGTCAGATATTTGCGAATGCTCTTTATTCTCAAATAATTTAACATAGCAGTTCTACACTTGGTCTTAACATGTGTTGAGAATCTTAGGCCCTCGTCTAAGTAGGCATCTAAGTGTCTTATGACACTGACATTTTGAATTTTATCACCGGCGATATCAATTTCTTTAATTGAACATTTACCAAGTTGGGCTTTACTTCCAAACATAATGAATTCTGTCTTAGTGGTGTTCATTTTGAGTTTATTGGCATTCATCCAGTCATTGATGATTACAGCACTGTCTTCAAGTTGCTTTATAGCGTTAAGTTCATTGGTCACTGAAGTTGGTCGAAAAGCGTTGACTAGCAATGTGGTCATCAGCAAAGCCGTACACAGATATGGATGGTGGTATCACATCAAATAGGGTTCCCGCATATGTGAAATAGAGCCACGGACCAAGACAGCTCCCCTGAGGTACACTGCATTCCAGCAATCGTGGAGTCGATTCAGTAGAATTAACACTGACGCGACAACTACAAGGTCGCAGGTACGAGTCCACCCAAGCTAACACGGTACCATTGACACCGTACTGACTGTGTAACACGTCGAGTAGAATGTTGTGGTCAACGGTGTCGAAAGCTGCACTTAGATCTATTGCAATTAGAACTGTGACCTCTTGCTTCTCCATACCGTCTAGAAGATCATTGACAAGTCTGAGTAAAGCAGTCTCACATGAATGATGACGCCTGTATGCTGATTGATTTTTGGGTAACAAATTATGGGTATCGACATGGTTATTTAGTCTGAAGAGCGCAGCCTTTTCTATCAATTTTGAAAGAAACGATAAGTTACTGACAGGCCTGTAGTTTGACAATTGTAATTCTAAACCAGACTTCTTAAGAAGGGGTCTAACGATCGCCTGTTTCCAGTGTGTTGGAAATACGCCTTTAGACAGAGATAGATTGACCAGTTTTGGTAATGGTTGGCAGAAGCTCATCTAGATGTGACTTTAATATATGTGTGGGTATTAAGTCCAGCTCACACGATTTGGTATTTAGTTCACAAAAAAGGCTCTTCACCTGTGTTTCTGTAAGATCCTCGAAATTTTCTAAAGGTTGAATTTGTTTGACATTTGAATGAAGCTTGGGAAATCCTGAAGTGATTTACGAATTTTAGCTATTTTGTCCATAAAAAAGTCTGCAAACTTCTCAGCTAGCTCACCGTCATTTGTAGACTGTGGCATAGGATTTTCAGCTTTAGTACCAGTTAATTCCGAAATTAAACCATAGAGTTTTTTTGAATCACCTTTGGCATTTAGAATTTTCTCACTTATAACTAGTTTTTTCTCAGAATCAATTTCTTTACAGTATCTATTCCGTGCTTCTTTAAATTTCTTGAACTGTTCTGGCTCTTTGTACTTTCTCCAAATTCTCTCTTTTTTCCGGACAATACGCTTAGATTCCAATATTGACTCATTGAACCAAGGTTTTTGAGTTCTGCATATCCTAGTTTGTTCCTTTGTTGGAGCATGTTTGTCGATAACAGATTGGATTTCTGATTCAAACAAGTTTACAAAAGTGTTGACATCTTCACTATCAACTAAGATATTCGTTAAATCATCAGAGAATTCAGAATGGGATATGCTTTTCCAGTTTCTAAATTGTACAGTTTTACTGGTAATGTTTTCTTTCTTCACATTAATGACTACGTGGACAGCACAGTGATCGGAGAGAAAAGGTCCTTGTTTACATTTAAGTACACATACACCATTAATCGATTCAGTGATAACCAAGTCTAAACAGTTTCCAGCAGTGTGGGTACTAAAGTTGACATGTTGCTCTAAACCCATAGCATGAAGGCAATTTTGAAAGATTGTAGATGCACCACTACCATTGTCAAGGTGAAGGTTGAAGTCTCCCATAATCAACAAGTTAGAGTATGTAGGTAAGATATCTTCTATGAAATTTGAAAAGTCAGTTACAAATTGCTCACATGTGGCTAGGGATGGGGGTCTGTATAAACCAACTACGTGTACTGTTATACTTTTGAAAATGAGTTTCCATATGCCAAACTCAAAACTTTGTTTGTTCCAATGTTCCATCTTTCTCATTTTAATTTCGGTTTTACAAGTCAAAGCAACACCGCCACCAATTTTGTTCTTGCGGTTTGCAACACTGATTTTGTAACCGTGTTGATTGAGATCAGACGTTTCATACTGATGTTGTTTTTCGTCAGAATACCATGTTTCAGTCAACAAAGCAAAGTCAATTCTTTGTTCCCTCAAATACTGGCCAACAAAATTATCCTTGTTAACAACAGATCTACAGTTAAGTGTAAAACATGACACTTTTTCACCAATTTGAACACGCGTGATTTGTATTAATGGATATTTCAAATTGTGTAGGTTTGCACAAGAAGGCTTAGTCAGGATTTTAGCTTTACCACCGAGTTTGCTCCTTTTGTGTGTTTTGGGTTGAGAGATGTTCAGCTTATGTATAACACCGTGTACACAATGGTCTAATTTGTGAAGTTGCCAATTACTCGAAACCGTTAATCCTATTTTCAATAGCTGGTCACGACAATACCTGTACTTTTGATTTATGGTTGGCTGGTTATTGATTTCAATCATGTCCGAAATATGTATATTTTTCAAAAATCTGTAACTTTCACCCATCATAAACAATTTGAAAAGTGTTATTGTTGCTAGTTAAATACACATAAAAATCAACAAATCATTCGTTTACAATGTGTCACAAAATTGTACTTTTCAGCACTTTCAATCCGTCAAAAAATAGTAAAAATCCAGGAGCACAGAAAAACAAGTCTGCCTTATACGGCGACAATATAACGATTACATGTATAGTGATAGTGTATAATTAATTGTTTTATAAAGATAACTTGATTTTCTCTGACATTTTATGATTGGTACTATTAACTTGACAGCTTATCAAAAAATTGAAGCCTCTGTATTTGTTAAAAGTATTAAAAATGGATTTTAAATGTCATGGATAGAACACACGAGATCGTACTTCTATTTGAAGTTTCTATATCCAAGGAAATCAATCATAGGAAGTAAAAGGCGTGGAAGTAAATAAAAGGTATTCAATTTTTAATTAAATGATAAGGTGTACTATTTTGTAATCGTTGCAATCATTTAATTAGTTTCCAGATTGTTGTGACCTACATTTATTCCTGTAATAAGTAAGTTATTAAGTCCTATTCATCTTATTACCCGATACATTCAACTAAGTGCGTATTCGACTTCATATACAAATGAAAAACATGTTCTGAAAAACAGTTTTTTTTATATTCCACGAAAGGCTAATTGAATACGTAGCTGAAAAGCAGATTTGTAAATGGTTGCTTTACAAACATTGGAATTGGTCCAAATAAAACAGAAAAGAAATCGCGGGAGAATTGATAAAATGAAACCCTCCTAGAAAGAGTGAACGTTATTTAATCCACCATTCATCTAGTAAATAAATTTAGTTTCTAGTAATTTTATGGATTAAAATCAGGAAATGTATATTCACTGATTGTTAAATAATGTATGAGCTAATAGTTACTGTTCTAGTTTACGAGCGTTCGAAATAAAGAATAACATTTTTATGTCAAACCGAGTCTGCAATTCTCGTGTAACTTTGTTGTCATTTATGCTTCCGAGGGATCACTTTGTTTCTAGATTTTTTTAATCATAGGCATATCAAAACGTATACACGAAGAGAGTACCTCTTTTTAACAAAATGACATCACCATGAATGATGTTTGCCTAGCTTCAACGTATCGTTATCAGGCATTAAGATTACAAGCTTGTTCTTGCTGAGTGACAACATTGCAATGGCAAAAACTTAGAAAACTGTTCTACAATCTTGATTAAATAATCACGGTATCGTTGACAAACAAAACTGAGCTTTTTTATTCAGTCGATTCTTACAACTAAAACAATGAACCCAGTTAACTTACATCGAAGTAAACAAATAATTAAAGGAACTCTGACTAGCAAATGAATGTGTATAATCGTTACGCATCCGTCATATCTAAAGGAAAAGTCAATATATAATAAGAAGTGTAAATTACTATTTATAATATTTTTTGTTGCAGTCTTTTAACTGAAACTTGAAGCGGTGTATTAATCTAACGCGTTGTAGATCAAAATGAATCGGATTAAACGTACTAAGTAATATAGTGGCAAATCAATGTCTGAAATGCCTGGAACAATGTATATCTATAGTAATGTTCAAATATTGATGACATACCTGTAAACAATCCTTTTATCATTTTAAAATCGTACTTTATGACATAGAATAATCGTAAAAAATTGTTTCAATCAACAATCAAACAGAGCCTGCAACTTTTGTTTATGGCGTTTTGGGCTTCTTCGAAAATTTTCTCTATTTCATAATTTAACAGTGACAGTTTTTTTAAAAATTGTACATGTGTTTATATACGTTTTCAGTTAGCATTTGAAATTCATTAATATTATATAGGCAATTAGAAATATAGAATTCATACAATACATTTGTTTTGCAGTATATGAACGAAGTTTCAATGAAATTTTCATATTAAACACAATATGTAACAGTTTTTGCTTAATTACATGTTTACACTTTATAATTGATGCATGAATATGTTTACCACTAAGAAAAGAATTGGATTGGATGAGAATTTATCAATGACTAATCTTTACTTTCGCGTCTGATCGATAAGATATAATGTTGATTATGAAAAAATCATTTCATTGTTTTTGTGTTCAAGATTAAAAACAATAAACGAAACACCTATGTATTTAATTACTTTGTAATCGTTAGCAATAAACATAGAAAGGACTAATGGAAATAATGGTTGTCTTGATATTCTTTTTCATTTGAAGCATTTGAATGTACAGCATGACATAACAAACAATTTAAAAGATATGTTGTTGTACGAAATTGCATCTTTCAACTTTTGTATCCAAAACTCTTTGACAATAAAAAGATATAATTCAAATTATAATTATATTAATTCAAATATTACAATGGTATGCTTCTCGACACCTTTTATCAAATCTGAGCAAATTAGAAAAGATAATCGTTACATTGACGTAGTTGTTTGTTTGTTTGGTTATACGACGCACCAACACAGTTTAGGACACATGACACAGAAACCGGAAAGAGGAATTTGGCTTATTTCGGGTGTTCAAAAAGCAGCACCATGGTTCAAAACTACCACACCAGTTGGACTTTGAAAAAATAGACTCCTGTAATTTGAACCAATTAATTAGCCTCTTACGAGCAAGCAATGATAAATGATGGCTGAAACTGTTATACATGAACCCATTAAAGCAGCCCCTCATTAAGATGTAGATTGGTGAATTTCTGGTTGTTAGAATATGTTTTGTTGTTAGAAAATTACTTAGAATACATTTCAAATTGGAAGTTTAAGATACTCATAAACAACATTTCTATTCAAATTTTGTTATTGTTACAAAATGTACACTGCAATATAATTCGTAAAGGAAGCAAATTTATCAACAACATCCCATAAAATCTGAATGAATTATCTATAAATCACTTTCATTGAAAGATTGAGACAAGGACATATTTTCAGTATATTACCAGTTGAGATCTTATCACCGTTGTCAGGACGAGGAAATATTTACAATGCATATTGATTTGCCTGAAGACGTAAGAATAAGGACGCCTAATATGTATGATATGAAGTCAGTGATGTTTTTGTTACACAATCTTTATCCTATATCTGATATTGCTGTTCAATTTAATCTATTAGTCAAAGACAAGTTATTTTTGTTTTTTGAATTGTATGTTATACAACATTTGTAAATCAATCAGTATTTAAAATATATTATAATATAACATACGAGTATAAAAACATATTAAAACAATGTAGATAAATAAGGTTTAGCACCAATCAATATGGGAACTAAAATAAAATAAATAAAATGAGAAAATTTAATCATATCTAATCATACTTAATGTAAATTTTACTCTGAACAGAAAAAAACTTCCGGTACCTTTTTTGAAATTAGTTTTGTGAACTAACACAAGCACGATAACTCTTTACTTAATGAGTATAATTATTTCAATTATATGTTATTTTGCTAACGCTTTTCGATGATTTAGGAATAAACAAATGTTTTGTCTAGATAAAATCTATAACACTTTATTTTAGCTATGGTGATACCTTACTGAATTAAAAAATGTATACTTCACCATTTTGCTTCACATGTATATTATTAATATTTCTCCTTGTCTTAAACCAGGGTTTAGTTAGAAATTGCTAAATACTACAAATATACGAGGGGTGTTCAAATATGAATGCCCTTGGGTCAATTTTCAGAAGTGCTTAACAAACAGTGCCAAAATAATTATCTTAATCGTTCAAAGTACTCACTGCGCATGTGATATACAAAATTTTAGACTTTTAATCCAATTTTTAAATGCGTTTTCATAATCTTTTTTGAGGTATACTGTTTAGACACAGGAAAATAGCCCAACCGAGATTCTTTCGCGTTTGATATTTTCTGTGTTTTTTAGTCTCGGAACATGAAATAGTTCTTTAATTTATGAAGGACATTGCCTTTTAAAACTTGGCATTTACACATTTACCCTTTGGTAAGACAATTTGAACAGCAGGGGCTTAATTGGTAAAATAAATTACATACATGGCATTTTTGACGCTCATGGTGCGTTTTAGCTATGCAAGGTCTTTGGTTTTCTTTGGTTGCCCATATTTTGTTATGTATCTTTCGCCTGGGCTTTCAAAGTGAACCCACGTCTCATCGGCACTGATGATATTTGCGAAAATTTAGGGAACTGTTTCAACAATTGTTTGAAGATTCGTACCCGAACAAGTTTTTTTTACATTTTTGTAAGGCGATGAGGTATAAATCTTGCACTTATCCTTTTCATTTTTAAATCACGTCTGAGATTTGCATGAGCTGCTCCTTTAGATATTCCAACGCATTATGCTATGTTCGTAGTTGTAAATGTTGCATCAGTAGCAATCAAATCCTTAATTTTTCAACCATTTATGGCGATGTTGCAGTTTTTGGACGGCGTACATGAGATGCATCTTTTTCTGAATCCACACCACTTTCAAATTTCTTACATCACCATGTACGTGACAGATGAAAAAGAAAGTTAATTGTTCCCATAAACACGTCATATTTCATTAAATATGTCTTTCGCCTGTATACCAAGAAAACAGCGGTTTATGATATAGGACCGTATTTGGTCAGTAATTAGAGACCTTTTCCAAACCATTTTAGCTTTAGTATACACGAGTAGATAGCTTTATCGAGCTATTGTCAAAGCTAGTCCCAACTGATTTACACATGTATTGTATCAATTGAGGGCTTATACAACCATCTATGCAATACATGTACATAGTTCGTGCAAAACGTGGTTAAAGCCTAGTTACATTTATATTTGAAAACCCCTCGGATGCATTAATTAATAACGAACAGTGCCTATGTGTGCAAATCGTGTGCATGAATAGGATTGCCAAAATGCAAAACAAATCCATGCTGAGTTCCTATGTTTTTATTCATATGAAAGCTGAATGATTTGTAAATGTTTTCTTTAAATTGAATAAAATACATCATGCAGTTACTCGTAGATGGAACTCCTG